AGTAGACCTCAAATACCATTGAAGATGAACTATTTATAGTCCTACAAGACTCAGAGTTTATTTATTTTTTTATTGGTTGTTCAAAACATTACAAAGCTCATGACATATCATCTTTCATACATTTGATTCAAGTGGGTTATGAACTCCCATTTTGGAACTCAACGATACAAAGAATGGTAATGAGAACCTCAGGGAGTAGACCACAAATACCACTGAAGATGAACTATCTATAGTCCTACAAGACTCAGAGTTTAAAAGGTCACTCTCAACTGACCCTGGAAGAGCAGAAAATTTTCATTTCTGGGAAGATCCCATAAGACACTGATGCTGCTGGCACAGGGACTGCATTTGAGGATCCCTGTTTAGAGTGGTCCAAAGAGACCTGAGTCTCTTTTGTGGGTGGATCAGCAGTGCTGAGGCAGGAAGACTTCAAAACTTGAAATTCAATGAGGTCCTGTCTCAAAAATAAAAATAAAAAGGACTAGGCTTATGGCTCTGTGGTACAAACCTTTGGATTCAACCCACAGTAAACCACATCTCCCCCAAAAGGGAAATATATGAAATCCTCCTAACCAACTTGGCCTCAGGGCTTCAGCATCTCTGTCTTTCCTTCCAGCGTTGAACCGAGCTCCCCAGTTCTCTTGGATGATCCAGTTCTTGGTGCCTTGGCAAAAAAGCACAWGCGATCCCCAGCCCTGATTGCCCTCCGCTACCAGCTGCAGCGTGGGGTTGTAGTTTTGGTCAAGAGTCTCAATGAGAAGAGGATCAAAGAGAACATTCAGGTATAGAGAAGGGCTGTGGGCACTGGGGTTGTTACACAGACTCCTTTACATGTGTGCTTCTTTGAAACTTGCAAAGATGTTATTGGGCCAAGTCAATATCCCCAGCATGTCCTCCACATGTAAGTTTTCATGCTTTCATAAGAGTATTCTCTTACTCCACAATGGGATATGCAGTATAGCCATTTAGAATTAAGATTGGATAAATTCCAGAGGTTTGGTATTCAGCATATCTGACCATGTATTATATAACTCTGTGCAAGACAACTTTGTATGTTCTTTTTACTTATTTTCTGAAATGAGAATTTGGATTGGGCGACTTTTATTCTATGAATTATGATTTTATTTTACATTTCCCCAAATTATCAATGTATACTAATATTCATATATTTATTCATTGTTAGCTTTTACACTTGTCTACTGTCAGTTTATGTACTGTCATTTAATTGGTTTGTTTTTCTTTCATTTTCAATAGGAGAACAATTTTTGAATCATCACTAGAGTAGTTACAGGAAAATCTACCCAATATTGAGGTTAATACAAAGAACAATTGTTTTTAAGTTTTCTCTTTTTGCATTGGATCAGCCTGAACTCAGTGAATGTCTTACAGCTACCCAGGCTACTCATGTTTTTTGTCAACAACGATGATATACATCTGCAGGACAGTATGGTCCCTCTGCTGTAGTCCTACTTGCTCTGTTGTCTGAGGTGTCTGACCTCCTCTCCATGGTACTTTACATCCATTAGTGGACAACCCAGGCTTCACATCATCACACAGCACTGTCCCCAGGCAATGAATGAAATCTCACAGAGCCTTCAGCTCAGAGTAGCTTCTACCATGTTCTAAYGGCCAATAAAAGTTGGCCAATGAAAGAGATGAGGCACGACTCAAGAGGTGCAGAAAGAGACACCATCTCTTAGTGAAAGAAGCTTCAAATTCACATAGGAAAGAGATTGAAGTCTGGGGATATGAATTATTGGGGAGA